GCCAGCCCTCCCTGGCGACAGGCACGGCCGCCCCAGGGTGTGCCAGGAGCCTGGTGCAGCTGGGGCCTACCGGGCCAGGCACCCACACCTGCCCCGCCCCCCGGCAGGCCACCTGGCCCAGCCCCGCCCTCCAGGCCTTGCTGGGACTTGCGCCAGCCCCATCCTGGTGGCTGTCAGCTGGAAGGGTCCTTTGCCCAATTCTCATCCACTGAAGTCTGGGCTTCCCCATCTGGCACCAGGGACGTTGTGAGTATATGGCAAGGAGCAGTGCCCCCCCGGAACATGGACCTGCTCCTGGGAGGTAGTGTGGCTTCGCAGGTTCCCATCTTGGTTCCGCTGTGTGACCCCAGGACAGTGGCCCCACCTCTCTGGGCCTCAAGTAGCAATGGGGATCGTCACAGCAGCTCCCTCTCGGGATAGAGCTCTGGCTCCCTCCACGGCAGTCCTCGAAATTAGAACAGGAGAGAGGCTGTGGGGGAGGCCTGGGTGGGCGTACGGGGAGAACACTGAGGGACCGTGGACCGCACTGTGCCAAGAGTAGGAGCTGTGCCTGGGCGACCAGAACGCCCTGGCAAGTGTGACACTCTGGGTCCCAATCTCTCCTTCTACACAATTAAAGGAACTTAAAAGAGCCTTCAGTGATCTCCCAGTTAGATGTGAAATGGAAAGGCTAAGTGCAGAAAAGTGTGTGCAGTCCGGCATGTATGTGAAATCGACTTACAATGTAAAAATACACACGTGTGCGTACTTCCTTGTCTCTGGAGGGGGCCTGGGAAACGGGGCTGCCTAGCGGGAGGGACCAGGGCCTGTGGGGGATAGCTGGGAGGGGCCTTCTCCCTGGTTTCCACTTGCGCACGCGTGATCTCCTCACTACAGACGTGCAGGGGTATTCTTAACGGCCTTGGGAGCTCTGCTGTCCTGACCTCCTGCCTGACTCTGACCCAGCTCCCAGGGAGCTGCCCGGAGGGACCCAGGGACCCATGTCAGGATCTGGGGTCAGGACAAAGCCCACTTCTGGACCAATCCATTACTGCCTCCGAGAAACCCTCCTGGACCCTCCGCCCGCCCTCCATGAGCCCCAGCCCAGCATTTGCCACAGTCCCATGTCTGTGTCCACGACCAGCAACACACCGTGCACAGGCCCAGGGCAAAATGAAAATGCAGGGCCCCTTGATCCAATTTGATTAAGAATTTCAAGATGACAACAGCCGAGCATCAAACCAGTGCAGGGCCATGCTAAGCGAGGGGCTCTGTGCGCCTAACCACAAGGTCATACGCCTGTGAAAGCAGCCCCCTCTGTAGCTCCCTCACCAAGATGTGGGCTCCCCAAGGCAGGAACACGGTCTATGTGTTTACAGGGCCCGGCACAGAGCCGGGTATGCAGTAGAGGCTCAGTTAATGTGTTCTGTGAACAAAGGAAGGAGAAGAAATGGAACTGAGGTGCGGGCAGAGCTCACCATCGACAGCCAGCCTGTGTACACTGGCTACGGCCCTGCCCTCTTGGCCCTTGCTCTCTGGGCTGGAGGAAATCTGGGCATTTTCTGGAGGAGGAAACCCCTGGGCTCCCCTGCACACCAGCCTGTGCTTCCCCCATCACAGCACTTATCACTGCTCTCCTATCTGGAGCTCAGCTGTGTGACCCTGGGAACGTGACTTAACCTCTCTGTGCCCTGATTTCTTCACCTGAGTGGCTTATGAGAGAACACCTGTGTGTGTGTGGCTGGAGGCTGGGCACTGGCAGAGGACACGGCCTGGGCTAGCCCCCCTGACTTCTCTGGGCCTGTTTCCTTATCTGCAAACGGGGCTAAGGAGATGCCCCCGTAGCGGGGTAGAGGCCTAGTGACGTGGCGACACTCAGGACAAAGGACAGTGGTTCCCTGCCTCTCCCGTCCCTTCCTTCTGCCCTGGGCTGGGAGTCATTCCTCCCCGTCCGCCACTCCCAAACTAGCCCCAGCTCCCAGCGCCCCCACCCCGGTGTGGCACAGGTTTGCCCATGGCCCAGGAGGGGGGGATTGCTCAGAGTGAGACAGAGGGACAGGAACTGGTAGAGACCAGTGTGGGGGGCGGTGCCCCTGCCCTGCCCCCAGAGGTCCAGGTGGGTCTGAGGGTGCTGAGGTGGGGCACCCTTCCGGGCCTTCCAGCCACACTGCTCCCCGGAGCCCAGGAGGGACTGCCACCCACCACCCTGAGCAGACATGTGCTTGTGAAAAGGGCCCTAAGTGGGGCCCCTGGGGAGGGTGAGATGAGGACCTAGAACAGCTGGAAGGGGGTCCCTCCCCTCACTGCACACCCCTCCCTCCCTCCTCTCCCCCTTCTTGGTTACCCCACCGTCAAGTTCAGGCTCTGCCTGCGGTGGGGGAGGGGCCTGTTGGTGGACAGACCTACAGAGGGCAGGGATGGGGGAAGGGGGTGCAGAATGTGGGGGCTGGGGTCACTGGGAGACCCTAACTGTGGGACAGTACGTATGTGTGTCTCTGTGAGTATGTGGTGCTTCCAGGCGTGTGTGATGTGGGTCTTTGTGTATGCGCAGGTGTGGGTGTGTTACTGGTGCGTGTACCTTTGTGTGTAAGTGTGGCTGGTGTCTGGGGGGCATGTCTTCATGGGGTGTGTCTCTGTGTGTCTGTGGAGTGCCTCTCTGTGTAGTGTGCCTCTCTGTGTGGTGCGTGTTTCTCTGGTGTCTGTGTGTGTGGTGTGCCACCGTGTGTGTCTCTGGTGTCTCCCTGTGGTGTATTTGCTGTGTGTGGTATCATGAGTGTCTTCATGGGCCCTGTCTTCGGGTCTTCAGGTGGACCCTATCTGTGGGTGTCTGTGTGTGTGTGTGTGTGGTATGTTTGCTGTGTGAGTGTCTCTCCCTGGGCTCTGTCTGCGGATGTCTGTGTGTGTGTGGTGAGTTTGCTGGTGTGTCTGTATGTGTGGTGTCCCGGTGTGTGGTGTGTGGTGTGCACAGTGTGTGTCTTTGTGGGCCCTGTGTGTGGGTGTCTGTGCGTGTGGTGTGTTTGCTGTGCGTGTGTGTGTATGTGTGGTGTGCAGTGTGTGCCGTGTGTGTCTCCCTGGGCCCTGTCTGCGGGAGTTTGTGTGTGTCTGGTGTGGTTGCTGGTGTGTCGGTGTGCCTGTGTGTGTGCGCGCGCGCGCGCGTGTGTGTGGCGTCTCTGTGTGGGGTGCGGTGCGTCCCCGCGGCCCTGTCCGCAGTGTCCCCGCGTGTGTGTTGCGCTGTGACTGGCGGGACGTGCGGCCCGAGCCGACGCTCAGGGTCCTCGTGACCGAGTCCACGTCGGTGAGGCGGGCAGCGGGAGGCGGGCGGAGGGGGTAACGGGGCGGCGCGGGGACAGGAAGGGCCGGCGAGGGGCGCCGGGGCGGGAGGCGGCGGAGGGGAGGGGCCCCGGGGTGGAGAGTGCCCCCACGCCCGGAAAGCGCTGGGAGACCTGGGGGGCCGCGCCCCGGCCGTCCCGCTTTGGGGGGCCCCAGCCGCCCCCCGCCCCTTTGACTCCACGCGGACTCCACGTGCAGTGCTCGCTGCGGACAGCGCTGCTGCCGCTTAGTAGTTTCTGGGTTCACACCCACGACAAGCCAGACACAGGAGCTGGGGGGCTGGGGCTGGGGCGGGGCGCGCCCCCCGCGGCCCGGCCGCGAGCTCGGGCAGGTGGCAGGAGGCGCGGGCGCGGCGCGGCGCGAGGGGAAAAGTTTCCGACCCTGGAGCCAGAGGCCGAGAAGTTTCGGCCGCGCCGGGCGGCGCCAAAGCCAGGCCAACACTGCCCCCGCGTGGGCGCGGCGCGGCGCTGCAGCCGGGGAGGGCGGGGGCGCCGCCGCCCTGCGGGGAAACTGAGGCTCAGAGACGGCGAAGTGGGCTGCGCAAGGCCACCGCGGGAGGTGCGGTAGACTCAGGCCTCCTCTGAGACCCGCGGGCTCTCCAGGAAATGGAAATAGTGGGCGGGGGCGTGCAAGTCCAGAAAAGGAGGCGGAGGGGAGCGGTCGTTGAAATCCCACCCCACCCCCCAGTGACGGGGGGCTGTAGCCTTGTCCCCATCCCATCCCCCACAGGGCTTCTCCACACGTGCCTAGATCTGCGGCCCTTCTTCTGGAGCCAGGCCACCCCTTCAAGACAGGCCTCCCCCATCACGACGCGTCCTGGCGCTGAGCCCCACCGCCCGTCCCCCCAAATCCCATCCTCTCCTGATCAGCACGGTGCCTGGGCGTGGACTCTGTGGCCGTTTCCTCACTGGCCAGGAGGTGGCGATAAAGACCTGCATCCTCGGCCTGGCGAGGGGTTGGGGCCAAAGCGCTGCTTGAAGGAGAGAGGGGAGGGGACGGGCGCAAACTTCGTCCTGCGGGTTGGAACACGGTTGTGGCCAAACCTGCAGACAGGCGTATCGGGGTGGCACTGTGGGGTCGGTGCAGCGGTCAGATAGACTCCAGGCAGTACCTGCCGCCTCCTGACGTGGCTCTGAACACTGCCCACCCCCGTCGCCCCAGACTGGGAGAGAAACATGTGCCCCAGCCCACCCAGATGCTTGCCCTCCAGGGACCAGATGGTGTGAGCCTGGCCTGAGGAACGCAGAAGACAAACGGTTGTGCACACACAGGGCTCTTTCCCTCACCCCACAGTGGAGGTCAGCAAGCAGCCTTTGGTTCCAGTCAAAGAGGGAGGCTGGGGGCCAGTGCCTGTTTCAGGTAAGGGCTGATCCAGGTTGACAGAGGCTTGGTCCCAGGTTTGAGGTGTGTGGTAGGGTCTCCCACCTTCCAGAAGGGTTTACTTGGAACAAGCCCTGACCCCTGAGGATGCCTCACCCCACCCTCAGCCTCATCCCAGCTGACTCCGCCCCCTCTATCCCCCTGGTCTAGGACCCCGAGGAGACCAGCAACCAGACACCTGGAGAGGCTTATAGGGTGAGATCAGGCAGCAGGTCCCAGCCGCCTGGGATGTGCGTTTATTTGTGTGGCAGGGAAGGCCTCTCCTCACCCGCCCGCCGTGTCCTGGCCTGGAGTTGGGGTCCAGCGGCCATTCACCTCTGAGCCCGCTGCGGGGTTGTGGAAGGCAGGAGAAGCTGGTACCCCTTGGGGCGGCCCCGCTTCAGGACCGTGTGCAGCACCAAGCTGGGCAGGAAGGACTCCTAGACAGAAAAGGATGACCAGCTGGGCGCTGCGGGGGGCCTCCGGGCGGGCAAGGGGGTTCCCTGGGCGCAGGGTGTTCTACACCACAGCGTGAGGGGGCAGGCACTGCGGTCAGCCCCCTTTTACAGATGGGGTAACTGAGACGCAAAAAGACCCCACTGCTTGCAAGTACGGAGCCGGGGTCTGAACCCAGCCAGCCCAGCTCGAGAGCCACCCCCTAGCCAAGCGCGTAGGGAGGCTTTACCCGGCGACCGGCCACCCCACCGGGCTCCAGGCGGCCAGCTGCCAGCAGCTGCTCACCAGCTTCTGGCTCCAGGAGGAGGGCGATTTGCCCCCCTGCTCCAGGATGCTGTGGGCGCCCAGGAAGGTTTTGAGGTCACCCCGCTGCCTCTGGGTGGTGGCCCTGGGGATGAACGGCAGGCTGCTGTTCACGGAGGCATCCTCAGAGAAGTGGCCCTGCGGCTCCTGGGTGGGCCTGAGGGGGACAGAAGCCCGTGAGCTGCGTGGACGCTAAGTCCGAGGTCCACCCATGGCTGGCATGGCCCTCAAGAGCCCAGACCCTCAGCCTGCCCACTGCTGGGCGGGAGGTCTGCAGGGTGAGGAGGGGAGCCCGGGTGCTGACGTGGAGCCCAGCCCCTTCCCCGAAGCCTCACAGGCAGGGCCTGGCCGTGGCCTCCTCCACGGCTCTGGAGTACAGGGTTTTGGGCAAACTCTCCAGCCATCTCCCGACACTCCTGAACACCCGCTCTGATGCCGCCGACTGGGTGGCTGTCCCGTTCTCCTTCTCGAGGCTGCCCTGCCAGACTGGAGGAGAGAGGGTGCGGATGAGATCTCTACCGGGAGGGGGCACCCGCGCCCCCACGCTCCCCTCCTCCCTCTGGCAGGCAAGGCCAGGCAGAGCCCTGTCTCCATGGCAACCCCAGGCTCCCCAGCGCCTTCTGGCTGCCTCCAGAGAAGGCTCCGGTTTTAAAACTATCTTGCGTGACTGTTTCTGCCTTTATTACCCAAGCTGTGCACCCCCAGCGCACACACACCCACTCCTGCTCCAGCCCGGCAAGGGCGGCCCCCTTGCCCACCGCGGGAAGACCAGGCACCGCCCATGGAAATCCAATGTTGTGACTCCTACGGGGTTGGAGGGGGGTCTTGGGGCTGGGGGTCTTTCCTGTCCAACAGCTGCCCTTCCGGCTGGTCAGAGACCCCGAATTCCCCCGTGGCCGCCTCGGGATGGAAAGGGCTGGGAAGCAGCCGGCCGAGCCCCACTCTGCTGCCCTGGGGTGTGACCACAGCCCCTTGTGGCCAGTGGCTGACAAGGAAGCATCTCCTAGGCCAGCCAACTGCCATTCACAGGACACTGCTTCTCCAGGCGCCCCCTTTCCTTGGCGTCCCACGAGTGGCCCGGGGCACCTGGCTTCTCTTCTTGGCTGCTGTGTCACCTGCTCTCAGGTGACCTTGGCTTCCCCAGCAAACCACCAGAAGTTGGGCAAAATCGCAGCTTCTATCTCCAACTTCCTGTGACCCTAGGGGGCTGGGTGGGGTCCCTCCTGAATTGGGGAGGGTCCTGGATTTTTAGAGCTTTACCCACAGTGAGGCTTTGAGGCAGCTGTTTCCTGAAACGGCACACAGTAGGTGCTCGATAAATAGGTGCAGGCTGTGGACTGTTGGAGGCCCTGGGGCTGCTGGACCCCGAGAAGAGAAGAGCAGAGAAGAGGCTGGGCAGATGGAGAAAGGGAAGCTGGCGAAGGTTACACCGGAGCAGGGACACGTATCTTCCTGCCTGCCTCTTGACACCCACTTCAGAAAGCACTGGAAACTGCCCACATGGACACCATCACATCCGTCCTGAAAGGGCTGAGCGCAGACTTCTGCCCAGCAAGCCGGCCTGGTGGCTCCCAGCTTCTTCCCACCACCCAAGCGGTGCCAGCCTTCCCCAGCAGAGAAGGTTTGATCTTCTGGACCTTTCTGGGCACCTCCTCATCCAGGTCCCTGAGGTCTGCCTTCCCTGGATATGGGAAGAAGCTGCTTCTGGTGCCTTCCAGCCTTCTCCAGCTGCCGTAGGCCATGTGGGGGGCCAGGCATGGGGTCGGGGGGCTGCGGGGGCAGCTTCCATGGTGAGCAGATATGGTGTGTGGGGACCCTTGGCAGCGAGAAGTCCCTCAGTGGTGGCCAGGCCTGGGCAGCCGCTGTCTCCTGGGCCACGACTGTGGCTGCTCCCTGGCGCCAACTGCCTTGGGACACCTCTGCTGGACCTCGGACCCTCTCTTTGGTCCTTGAAGGTCACCCTGACATCCTTCGGAGAGGCCAGTTCAGGTGCCTCCTCAGCAGGGCCAGTGCCTCTTAACCTTTGCCGGCTGCTCCCTTACTCTCAGGACCCAGAGCCTTAGCCTCTGCTCTCTTGGCTCCAGGCTGGAACTTTCTGGAACCCCAGGGTTCCCCATCCTGTCTCTTACCTGCACAGCTGCGCTCCCAGTAGCGGAGTGCTGTGTCCCGTAGGGTCTCGTCAGCAAATCGCACTCGGAAGGGGTAGCACCGCCTGCGGGGCCCTGAGCCTTCCCCCGAGGAACTGTGGGTGAACACAGTCTTGAGCTTGGGGGCCTGTGGACTGTGGGGCCTGCCGAGAGGCGAGGGGCAGGGAAGGGCCAGGGCCTGAGTCCCAAGTCCCCACTCCACCTGTGATCCTGACGGCCACAGCAGCTGGCCTTTTCTGAGCCCACCAAACCCACACAACCCTGTGAAACACAGTTATTACTCCCATTCTACAGATGAGGAAACTGAGGCACAGAGACTTTTTGCAACTTGCCCAAGGTCACACAGCTGGTAAGGGGTGGAGCCAAGATTTGAATCCTGGTTCCAGAGCCGGTGTTCTTCTATATCAAGCAATTCAGCAGAGAGAATAAAGATATGAACTCGGCAGTCAGGCAGTCCTGGGGTTCAATCTTAACTCTTTTGAGCCTCAGTTTCTCTATCTGTAAAATGAGGATTATCGTTGTGCCCACCGTACAGAGTGGTGAAAGATGAAATGGACAGCAACACGCCCCACCCAGGGTTTGCGGGGCCCAGAGTGAACACCTCGAACTGGGAACTCTTCTTATTATAATTGTCATTCTCATCATGCCCCTTCCCAGCGTGTGACCTTGGGCAGACGACCCTCCAGTCTCCATTTTCCAGTTTTCCCCTTTAAGTTATGTATTATATATTGCACGATAACAGCATCCTTATAAGAGTTTGGTGAATATCAAATAACTTAAGTGAGACTTCTACCACAGGGCCTGGCACGGGGCCTGGGCTCAATAAAGGGTGTCTGTTATTGTTACGTTTATTGTTATTAATTTCAGCCTCAACAGCAAGGCTGCAGGAGGGTCCACCTGTTCCATCCATGGCTCTGTTATTCAGAAATGCCATGTTCTACCTTAAGTACGTACATATTGATATATCCATATCCATTTATCTGACCACATTCTCACGTCTGTGTGGACGCAGAGGGGATGCTTCTCATCGGCCCAGGGAAGAGCCAGGCAGCCAGGAGGGGTCCAAGGCAGTACCCCGGCTACAGGCATTGGGACCTGGTCCTCAAGCTGTCTGCTTATCAGTCCTGTTCTGCGCTGGCCTCAGGGCCAGGCCAAGCCTTACCCCAGCTCTGCCCTCAGGTCTGAAATCTCAGCTTCTCCTCTCAAAGCCTGCTGGAGCTCATTCTAATGCAGCCTGGCCTCCCTGGAGGGCCTACCAGGGAATCTCACACCCCGGAAGGTGCTCAACTATTAGCTCTTGAACAGGAAACACTGGGAATGTGTCCAGCTGTGCTGTGGCTCACATTTGAGATCATGAATTCCATACTTTCATTTATTACATCTTGTGAGAAGTAGTGTGTTTATTTGGCCTGATTGATTTAAAGTTCCTGGGTTGGCAAATGTGTTTCATTTCTGGCACCTACTCTGATCCATTAGTGGTAGGTGGTATCTGCCTGGGGTACTGTATCAGGAAGGGTTCTGAGGCTCAGTGGGGAAAAGTGCTGTGATCAATTAGTACTGTCTGCCATGGGTCCAGGATAAGAAGGAATGGAATGTATGTTCCATTTTTACATTTTACATTTTTACATTTTAGAGTATATTTACTCTCCCTGGTCTTTGAATTCCTGGGCAATGCTCTTCACCCTTCACCCCTGTTTAAGCCTACTTAAGCTGGAGGAATTTTTCCTGCATTCTTTCCCCCTCCATTAGAGCTACGGCACCTAGGCCCAGGAAGCTCTAATGCTCAGGCTCTTCTCCTACCTCCATTCCTTATTTTATTTCCCCCAATATTTGACATATAGTAAAACCTAATAAAAGTTAGAGGAAGACATGGATGAGTGAATGGTGGGATGGGCAAAAGGATGAAAGACTAGTGGGTGGGTGGGTGGGTGGGTGGACTGATGGATGGACTTATGGATGAATTAACGAAAAGGTCTGAATAGAAGGACTGGATCTTAGGGAGGTTGGGTAGATGTATGGAAGGGTGGGTGAATGATCATGTAAATTAGTATGTAGACTTGTAGATGGCTTCATGACTAGATTAGAGATGGATAGTATGCTGGATTTATAAGTGCATGGAAAGATTTGTAGATATTGATCATTGGATTCATGGATGGGTGGATAGAATTCTGGGAGTTTGTGAATAGATAGATGACTAGCTAGATGGATGGATGGATGGATGAGTGGATCAACAGGAGACCTGATTCATGGGTGAATGAATGGATGGATGGAGAGATTCATGAATAGGTTGTGGAAAATCTGGTTCACTGATAAGATGCATGCAAGGATGGATGGGTGAATGGGAGAATGAATATATGAATGGATTCATGGATGAATTATGAATGTGTTGGTAGAAGACCTGATTAATGGGTAAATGGATTCATAGATGTTGATGGATGATCCTTGAATGGGCTGGGAAAAGAACTGATTCATGGATAGATCTATGTAATGATGAGTGGGTGGGTGGGTGGATGGATGCATGGATGGATGGATGGATGGGTGGATACATGGGTAGATTCACCGATGGATTATGAATGCTTTGGCAGAAGACCTGAGTCATGGATGGACACATAGGTGGATGAATAGGTGGATAGATGTATCAATTCATGGGTGAACGACAAAGGAAAGGAAGGAAAGAAAAGCTTCTTCTCCCCACTCCCCTCCCCCCATCCTCCCATAACTCACTGGTTGGCCTTCTTGACTGTGGTGAATTGTGAGTGATCTCTCTTCAGGGGCCCCAGGGCAGGTATCTGATGGAGCAAAATCTTCTTAAGACTATTCCGGAAGTACGATGACTTGCCCCTTGAAGACAAATAGGCCACAGCTGGCATGAGTGGTCAAGGTCCCCCACCCTCGGAGCATCCATGGCAACCCTGTCCCCACCAACAGGTCACTGACACTTACCGCAGGTCTGGGAGGAAGGAGTAGTTGGGACACTGAGGACACCTCCGGCAGTGCTCTGACACACCCCTTTGATGTGGAGATGCTGGGAGCCAGGAGGAGGTGGAAAGAGTTATGAGCCTTTGCTTGGGGACAGTCCTTCCTACGCTCTTCCTAGTTACGCGGCCTTGGGCCTCGGCTTCCTCATCTGTACAATAAGGGCAATGGTAGAGCCACCCTCAAGGGGAGGTTGCCAGGACTGTGCTAGGAATACACGACTAATATTAGCATCATTCTGGGCATCATGGTGGGCCCCCCACCGGAAATGACTCAGCCCCGCCCTTGCCCCGCCCCCTGGGGGCGCCGCAGGGCCTCACTCGGTGGCTGCGGCTGCTCCTCCGCATGCTCCACCCCAAGCTGGCGCAGGAACCCCCGGAACCTGCTGGGGAGGAGGAGCTCCCCCAGGAGGGCGCCCAGGGAGTCCGGGGCCTCCTTGGCCGAGCCCCTCCGGGGGTCCTCGCACTCTCCAGGCCCGCGGCGCGGGGGCGCCGGTGCCCGGGGCGCGCGGGCCAGGAGCAGGGGCGGCAGTAGCAGCGACCTCAGCCCTGTGCGGTCCTGCGCCGCCCGCGGGGCCACTGTGGGCAGGGCGGGCAGGCGCGGCAGGGGGCTCCGGACGCCCACCCCAGGCTCTGTGTGCGAGGACGCGCACCTGGGGGCCTGCCACCACCCTGCGTCGCTCCCCAAGGCCCTCGAACTCCCTGAGCCCCCCGCGCCAGAAGATGCTCGCAGCTGGGGCGCAGGCAGCCTGGGCAGCAGCGGGTCGCTCCTTCGGCGAGCGCCGTCGCCGGGGAACCCCTTGGGCGCCACCTGCTGGGCCCCCGGGTTGGGGTGACGCTGGGGCATGGCTGGCCCTGCGCTGGGGTCAGGCCATCCTCACGTCAGTGGGGGCGGGGGGTGCCGTGTGAAGTGGAGAGGAGGGCAGAGACCTGCCCCCAGGCCATAGCGCCCAGAGTGGGGCAGTGTGGTTTGGGGGTAACACCACTGGCCCCCCAGACAGTGAGTGGTTCAGGCTAGAGCCTCTGTTTCCTCACCTGAAAAATGATGACGGTAGGCATACCCACCTTTTTGAGTTGCTGTGACATTTAATGAGCAAGCGCATGTCAGTGGCTTAGAAGAGTGGCAGGCACGTTGTACCTGCTCAGCAAGACGAGTTGGTGTTCTTATTCTTTTCAAATTATTACTATTTAGGATTTAGTAATAATTTGTTATTGTATATATGGTATATATTGTATTGTATATATTGCTATATACAATAATTTAGTTACAAGGATAACCTTGTAACTTTGTAACCTAGAGAGCCAACTAATTAGCTTCTCTCGGTGCCGTCAGGGGATAACAGAGCCCCTGCTCCTTTGTAAGAATGAATAACATCCTGCGCGGTAGAGAGCAGTTAGCACTGGAGTGTTCCGGTCCAGGAGGCTGTTACTGTTATTAGCGCTCTGCTGGGAACTGAGAAACCCAGAACCAGCTTGAAAGAGACCCTCAGAGCCCCGTGGGTGGGGGCCTGTTGAAAATACAGAGGCCCCGGATGCTGATTCAGTAGGTCTGGGGAGGGGCCAAGACACATATTTTTAACAAACACCCCCTTTGGGAGACAGACCCCAGGCCTGCCCCCTGCTTCTGACACTGGGGGTCTGGGAGCTGCTTCCTCCATACCACACCCAGTCCCAGACTGTTGTCAGCTCTGAGCTGGCTCCTAGTGTCACACTCACCCTGGTGGGGCTTCTGGGTGAGGCCAGAGGAGGTCCTGTGAGTTTAGAGCCCCCTAACAGGTGGGCTGGTCCTTGAGAGAGCCCATCTTCCTGGCCCGGTCCCTCTGCAGCCCCTCCCTGCTGCCTCCAAGGCCTCTTCAGGGTCATTGTGATCCGCCCCCACCCAAGGCCAGCTGAGGAGCATCTGCACTGAGGCCTGGGGGCAGAGGGCGGGGCTGTTATGCTCAAGATAACAAGACTGCGGTCACAAGGGGGTGATGGGGCTCCTGACCAGGAGGGACAGAGGGCCCAGGGTTCGGCTACCCCCTCCCGATCCGGAGGCCCAGGTGGGTCATGTTTGGGCTGGGTGGCTCTGGAAGTAAAACTTCCGCCAGAAGCCTGGGCAGTAAGAATGCCTGGAAACGAAGAGACCTATTTCGAGTCCATGCTGTGCTCTGTTTGCTGTGTGATGCTGGACAGGTTTCTCCTTTCTCAGGCCTCCATGGTCAAATGGACTGTTGGGCCCCGTCTGTGATTCTCGGCTGGGAGGGGGCAGGGAAGAAGCTTGTACTGTGAAAATTGAGTGGGGGACAAGGCTAGTTTGGACCAGTAATTTCACTGGCATGGTATAATTTTATAATTTGAAAAATGAAAAAATGACTTTGTAATTCAAATTACAAGGTGCCTGCCTGGAGGAGGCATCACAGATGATGTATTTCATTGTCTGCAAATACTCCTCAACTAGGAATGGAAGGGCATACCTCATTGGGAAGTTAGAATAATGAATGGGGAAGGTGAGAAATTTTTATATTTATTCTAAGGCTATGTGAGTTTTTAAGAACTGGACAAGGACCACCAGACTAACCAGCTGATTTCTAAGGAGCTCTCCAGCGCTCGCATGCTGCAGACATTCACTAAGTGACTGCTGTGTGTGAGGCTCAGGGATTCAGAGATGCAAGAGGCTTGGAGGTCAGAGGGCTGGCCAGAACTGGAAAGGCCTTGGAGCCCGGGTGTGAGGAAGGGACTTTCTCTTCCATCGACAGGAAAAAAAGTAGGAGTAGATTTTTAGGCACCCCAAGAGAGCTCAGAGCTGCCCCCAAAAGATTATGGACACCCCCAGCAATTGAGATAGCTTAGGGTTTATCCCTTTCCCATAGAGATATGGAAAGTGAAGCTTGGGAGAGGTGCCCAGGCCAGGGAACCAAGTCTGACCTCGAGTACTCTAGAGAGGATGCCAAATAATATGTACATAGACAGATGTGGGGCACTCAACGGCAGGTGGGGCTTTTCAGCGCCCCCCCCAAATAGCTTTCACTTCATTAGAGCCAACACACTGTAAGCACCTCCTGTGTGCAGCGCCCAGAGGAAGGCACTGTAAATCTAAGACCAGGATGTCAGTTTAGGAAAAATGAACTTATGATGAATATTGTCATTATAACAGCTTGTTTACTGAGAGACCACGACAAGCCCAGGGCTGAAGGCTTCACATGCAATATCCCACAAATTTAACCCTCAGAGCATTGGAAGGTGAGTAATTATTACATCTGTTGGCAGAAGAGGCGACTGAGGCTTTGAGAGGTTCACAAGGGCTAACCACCTGCAAAATTACATTTCCATCAAGGCTGCTTCGAGGACTGCTCCAGAATTTCTATATATGGGAGGAGCCTAGGGGAGGGCAACCTTTTTGGAATGGGAACTTCATGGACTTGTTCTGCTTATTTGGGGTGGCAACCCCTTGGCACTGCCAAGGGTATTTCTTTTTCTTTCTTTCTTGGATCTGTATGTTATTTTAAGATGCTAGTTGTTATGGGAGAGATTTGAGGAATAAGGCATTTTTTCCCCCTTTTTACCCAGTGAGAAACCCAGAGAACGCTCGTTTTTAAAAATCCAGGCTTGCAGCCTCCACATGAACCGGTGCACGTGCTGGAGGCGGGAGAGGGTCGGTGCTGCGGTCCTTTTAAGTCCGGGAGGTTCTAGGTCAAGACCCACTGGGCGGGGCAAGCCGATGGCGGGGCGGAGCCAGCCGCGGCCCCGCCCCCGGGAGCCCGGAAGTGACGTGAGCGGACAAAGGCGGCGCGTGCCGCGCGGTGTGGCGTCTGGCCGGGGGCTGACGGAGCTGGTGTGGCTGGTGGGGTCTTCGCCGCCGCCCTTTCCTCTTCCGCGTCCTCTTCTCCCGGTCCCGGGAGCCCCCTCCCGGGGTGAGTAGCGCGCGGCGGAGCGGGGGACGGCGGCGCCGCGAGAGGGAAGGCCCAGCCCCCAACTGCCTCGGCGCCCGAGGCCCCGGCCCGTCACGTGACCGGGCGCGAGCTGGCCGGCCCCACGTGCGCGCACCGGGTTAGGGGGGTCCCCGGTGGGGGAGGAGGAAGAGGCCGAGCCCCCCAAAGCCCGGGTGGACACCCCCACGCGGGCCCCCGTGCCGCAGCAAATCTCTTTCCATCCCTGAGCCTCAGTTTCCCCCATGAGAAACGGGGATAGGGAGAGCACCCGCTCGGAGAGGTGCGTGAGGATTCAGCACAGTGCCCAGTTCAGAGCCAGGCACGGGGTAGCGCCCGTGGCATAGGAGTTGCTATCATATTTCACCTGGACCCGGCCCCAGTGACGGCCCGACACAGGTGCCGCTCAGAAGACAGCCCCCGAGAGCCCTTGGAGCCAAGGTCAGCCTGTTTGCAGAGAGGCTGCCGGACCGAAGGCCCAGGCTGTGCTGCTCGTCAACTGTATGGTCTCTCTCTGGACCCTGGGCTCTCCGTCTGTGCATTAAGGGATGGAAAGGGTGTCAGGCCGTGCCGGTGGGTGGGGCACTGTTGCCGATGGTCTGGGTGTACAGAATCATTGCCCGGTGAGATGGGATAAGCCCCTGGGAGGACCGGGGCCTTGACTGGGATGGGAGGTCTGGATTCCCTCCTTATTCTGTTGGAGTTTCCCGTGTGTTTGTTTTAAGGCGCATCACTCTTGTAGTGGAATGGTTTTTCTGTCTGTAAACTGGGGACTGTGGGAGCTGCTTTGGTGAAGACCAGGAGCCACAGAGTCAGAGACAGCCGTCTCCAAAATCTCTGCAGCGTTTCTGTGTTGACACGGATGGGAAGCTCACCCCTCCCCTGCAGACTTGCAGAGCTGTCTCCGTCTGCTGGGTTGACCACCAGCATAACAGTAATAATCCCTAAGGTGTGTCCAGCACCCTACAGTTTACATTTTTCTCATTTGATCTTCGCAACTGGCAGAGAGAATGGATGAGAACCTTGTTTGACAGAGATGTATAAACTGGAGATAACATGTACCCTGCACTGTATGGATCACTTTATGTTTTTATATTGACATTTAATCATCACAGCCTCCCTATAAAGTCAGTATTGCTGTTCCAATTTTATAGATAAGGCAACTTACTTAACTGTGTTTGTGTCTTGTTTGAGCTGACACACCAGTGAGAAGCAGAGCCAGGCTTCAGACCTGGTTCATCTGATTCCGTCAGAGCCTTCATTTGTTTTTAAATTTTTCTCCCATTTTTTTTTGGTCTTCCTTACTCCCTCCCTCATTTTCTTTCTTTTTCATAGAGCACCCTGCCATTCTCATATGTCCAGCCGCTGTCCACACAGATCCAGGGAGAACAGGCCCTGTCCCACGGGCTGTGAGGGCAGAAGTAACTTGAGGCAGGCTCTTGCCTCCTGTTGCTTTCAGGCTTTTTTTTAGAGACCAGTCAGTGAGGAGGATGAGATGACTCTGCAGAGCACTGACGGTGACAGTTCCAACACCATTCTCTTCCCTGGATCCTGGGAGAAGAGCAGGTGGCTGGGGCAGCTGCCCAGGTGTTGCCTCAAACACCTTGGTGTGGGGAGATGGCCAGATGACCATGAAGGATGCACAGAGGAATTCTACCCCTGAGGAGCAGAAGTTCACTATGAGCAAAGGATTTCTCTTCCCCTCCGAGCTAGCCTAGAGCGCACACAAAGCCAGATTGTGCCCAGGCCCCTTCCCCATCCCTGCAGCCATGTAGTTCCTCGCTGTGATCTGGACAGAGTCTAGGAGGACTGCCTGCTGTTTGACGACCCTGCTGTTCCCTCTGACTCCTGCCCACTCTAAGCTGGACACCGCAAGGCAAAGTGTAGACAGGGCCCCCCGAGTCACATTTACTCATGAATCAGCTGTTAGAACAAATGTCAGAGTCATACTCTCCATTTCCCGGCCTACATGTGCCTCCCCTGGCTTGTTCCTAGAATCTGCCTCTAAGTGGAATTCTTATAAATTAAATTATTCAGGGGACCTTGACATTTAAAGGAATCATGTTGTAAGGCTTTTGGTAGAGCAAAAAATTATATTGTCAGTAATGGCCTTCAGTGTTATCAGTTCTGAAGGGCTGTATTTTTGTCTGTAGGATTTTCTTAAAAGTGGAAAATGACTGTAGCTGCACAAAGCTCATTCTTTGATTCCTTCACCAATTAGTAAACACCCACCTTGTGTCAGGTACTGGGCTAATGGTGTACAAGGTTGTGTGCCTGACCCAGGAGGCTTACCTCCTGGGAGGGAAGGCAAACGGATGGCAGAGAGGACAGCCAGGGACACGTGTGGCCCCAGATCTATTCTGTTGATTTAATCGGAAGCGAAGTTTGTGTTGAACACCTGTGTGCTATGTGCGCTGCAAGAGAAATACAGGGCTACAGCTCGGTGTCGCCACTGCTCTGAGGAGCTCCCAGTCCAGTGGGGGTAGGATTTGAATACAAAACCGGAAGTTTGCCAGGGCCGGTGGGCGGTGGTGGGGACGGGCCGACGTCACTGAGCTCCAGTCTGAGGGGGAGCACCGCTGGTGTGGCGTGAAGAGCTGGCTTTGATGGGCTCCCTCCTGGGTAATGGTGGAGGGGCCGTGACGCCTGTTGGCAGGGTCGGTACGGCTACTTGGCCTTTCAGACCTCACCCACATAAGGCAGCCCCCAAACCCAGCTGTGTGGTGACAGGCTGGTGGCCCCCTTTCCTGTCAGCCCTTAGGGAGCTACTGGATGTCCCCTCAACTGCAGTAGCATTCTTGGGGACTGGCAGGCCTCCACATTCTTTTGCTTGCCATGTACCTCAAGGTTGGATGAGAGTTCATGCTCGTGAGCAGTGTGCCCCTCTCTCTCTCTGGGTGGGGGAGGGTAGCTCAGGTGCTGGGACCCTGGTGTGGGACCCTGGTGAGCCAGGATGGGGGGGTGCAGTATTTAGAACCAGGGGCCCCCAGCCTGTTACCCCAAAGGGCTCTTCAATCAATGCAGTAATTGGAACTTGTCTTCATTGCGGTCCCAAACCCTTGTCCCTGAACAGTGAAGCGAGGGCATCCGTCTGAGAGCCGACTCAGACTCTGAAGGGGGACTGGAGCAGGGTTCTCTCGGCACAGCAGAGGGCTCTACTCAGAGGGGACACAGTGACAAACTGCACATCTAGGAACTGGTCCCTGTAGGCATGTGGGTGTTGTCGGCTCTCTTCCACTTCCTCAGGAGGCCAGTGTGTGCCCTTACCCCTGAGGAATCCCCGCATCCACAGAAGGAGCCAGGTCGGGGTGCGGAGGAGAGCCCCCTTCCCATCTGCTCGCAGAAGCTGGGCTGGGCTCTTCCCTGGCGCCTCCACTGGCTGGCGGGGTCTCTAGGAAGAGCTGAGCGCGGCAGAAGTGGAGTTGCATCAGTGAGGAGCGTTCTCGGGTTGTTTGGCTGAGGTGGGCCTGCTGCTTCTGGAAGGTTCCTTCTCTTCCAGGCAAACTCAGAGTACAGTTGTGTGTTGGGGGTTAGTAACAAGCATGGCGAGTGAAAATTCGTCAGCTTTTCTCTTGTTTTGTTCCTCTTCTCTCCTCAGAGTCTCTAAGTTACTCATCGAAAGCCTCCTGGTTGTCCTCAGGGCACTTTTCTGTCCAGTTACTTCTCTCACAGCCCTAAAGCGTTCCTCAGCCTCAGGGTTTTCCAGTGTTTTTGAGGACCGTCCCAGGGTTCCACAGGAATCTTTCTGTGTTGCCCCTGTGTTCCAGGGGTCAGTGACTCAACTGCAGCCCAGTGGAGTAGTGTGACGGGGACGGGAGGGAGACCCCAGGAGTGCAGGCGTGCGCAGCTTTCCTGGAGGACTGGGGGGATCTCACCCCTGCTCTGAGGGACTCCTGTGGGCTCAGTGCTGGGGACACAGTGGTTAACAGGCAGGGTCCTGCCTCGAGCTTCCATTCTAGTGAGGCCCAACAGTCAGTGAGCAGTATAATATCAGGTAGAAATACTCATTCTGAAGGCAGCAGAAGATGGGGCATGGATAAGGGTGTTGGAGGAAGCCCCCTTAGATAGGCTGGCGAGGGAGGGCCTCTTCGAGGAGGTGACACTTAAGCTGAGACCTCATGATGAGAATCATGAGGGAAGAGCAGTGAGGGCCTAGGGCTCGGCCAGTACCCGCCCTCTTGACCTTGGGCGGGGCACTTAACTTCCCGGTGCATCGGACTCCACAGTGGGTGACTGTGGTACCTGGCTCATGGTTAGTTGTGATGGTCCAGTGGCCGATGAAAAGTGCTTAGTGTGTGTCAGCAGAGCATGAACTGCTGCCCCTGCTGTTGTGTTCCCACTCTGCTGCTGCCCTTTGTCTTGTCTGCTAGCGTGGCCCCTGCATGCCCACCCTGCCACTCAGTCCCCCTGCAGGTTAGGTCCCAGCACACCCTGTGTCCTTCAGAAACTTGCAGCTGACTGGTTTCCCATAATTGACACACTAGACCCACAGCCCCTGGCCTGAAATCAGGGCCCGCCGTAATCCAGGCCCAGTCTGCCTGTCCAGGCTCATCTCCCACCACCCGCTCCTCCTCTGTGCACAGTCCAGCCAGCTGGGCTCCTCTGGGGTCTGCTCCTCCAGCACCCTGTGCTTCTCTGCAGCCCTCACGCAGTTGTGATCGCCTGTGCCCATGTGGCTGTTTTCCATCTGGCTGTCTCCCCAGTTCTCAGCATGGGGCCTGGCCCAGGGTCCCGGTCATTGTTAACGAAGGACTGGACCCCACAGTGAGCTTGTTGCTGTGCGCACGAGGGAGAGGAAGGGAGGCGGGGGACTCCACAGCCTTCTCCCAGGGCCCGCTGGAATGTCCCCCGGAATGTCTACTGCAGAAAGCTTGGGTTCCCTGTTTCTCTCTCCTTTCTCTTAAGTGTATATCAGGGTTCTCTGTACCCTGGGGTCAGAAGCCATTAAGTTCTGTGTCGTGTAGAGTAAGGAAAGAACCAGAAGCCAGGACTCTGGGTCCCCTGCTCTGATACGAAGAGAGCTTTGCACAATGACTTGAAGAGACAGAAGGCACTGTCGTCCAGGGGTAGCAGCAGATCTGGGGACACTGGATATTCCTCTGTGTCAAGCAGGACTGTGACCACTGAGAAGCATAGTGTGAGGCTGGGGCCCTGGACCTGGCTGATGCACTCCTTTTCTTCACTCAGGAGGTGCCACTGCAGAGTTGGGTGCCTGAGCAGAGACGTGACTGGTGGCAGCATGACGAGCGAGGTGATAGAAGACGAGAAACAGTTCTATTCAAAGGCCAAGACGTACTGGAAAGAAGTCCCGCCCACAGTGGACGGCATGCTTGGGGGGTATGGCCACATCTCCAGCATCGACATCAACAGCTCCCGGAAGTTTCTGCAGAGGTTTCTGAGGGTAGGCGGGTCTGGTGTGCTCTCCACGTGGAGAGGATGTGGCGCCGGTGGCACTGCCTGATCTGCATGGGGCGCCACCTTTTACGTGTACCACGGCAGGGGCTCTGGTTATCTGTCAGTGTCCGCGACCCAGGCCTTGACTGGCAGGGTGGGCGGGGTCAGCTTGTGTTCTGTGTTCAAGTTACCAGATGGGAGCTGGCTGTTACGCTGGGGCCTCCCGGATGCCAGAATTGAGTAGTCTTCCTTTAAACCGTTCAGTTTTGCCAGGAACGAAACCTTTGCTGTCCTGCTGTGTTCGTGGGCATGTGGGCAGTGGGTGTTGGCTGTTCTGCTGAATGCAGGCTCCTAGGTACTCGCCCCGCCGTACTACCAGGCTGGCGTCTCCGTGGCTGGAGCATCCCTGGGCCTGCCCCCTTCTTGTCTCCCCCTTGGCAAGCACCGGAGGCTGCTGCGTGCCCCCCTCTCTGTCCATTGTCTCCCCCCTGCCCCCTTTCCATCTTCCCAAATGTGTTAAAATCTTGTGTTCACTGATGGCCCTCTTCCATTCTGTCACTGCTTGAATTCTTTTTATTCTGCTGTCATTTTAACGGGTCTCACGAGTGCGATGAATGCACCTCTTCAAGCTGTCACCTTTATGTGGAAGTTGGCTTTCATTTTAGGAATGTGTGGCCCCAGAAAAGAATGTGCTGTGCTCATGCCCACTGATGTCCCCACTTGTGCCGGCCACCAGCCTGTGCCCAGTCCTGATGAGTAATTCCGGGAGCTCGTGAGGAATTTGCAGACAGGGTCCCTCTGGCTCTCTGACCCTCCCTGACAGAGCCTGTTGCTGCTCTGCCTTTTAGGAAGGCCCAAACAAGACGGGCACCTCCTGCGCCCTGGACTGCGGAGCCGGCATTGGAAGGATCACCAAGCGGCTGCTCTTGCCGCTCTTTGGAGTGGTGGACATGGTGGACGTGACGGAGGACTTTCTGATTAAAGCTAAGAGCTACCTGGGGGAGGAGGGCAAGAGGGTGAGGAACTACTTCTGCTGTGGTCTCCAGGACTTCAGCCCAGAGCCCAGCTCCTACGATGTGATCTGGATCCAGTGGGTCATAGGTGAGCTTCCGCTTCCCTCCTCCCCCTCCCACACGGCTCCCGCAGTGGGGACAGGCTCCCCAGAGCCCTGGGAGCTGGGGCTCTGGCGATCCTGCCGCAGGGGCCAGCGGGGCTTCCTCAGACCCTCCCTGAGCTCCCCGGGACGGTGGGAGACTGCCTGAAGGTACATCTCCTTCCGTGGTTTGTTTCAACTCAGCACCTGCTGCAGCCCATCTCGGGGCAGTTTGTGCTGAAAGAATTTAAACGACCAGTCACTCGCTGCATTCAGAAACGGGGAAGTGAATGTACAAATAAGAGTTTCTTTAGCAAGAGGAAGCGTTGAAGCCTTGGCTGTCCCTGCTGCTCGCAGTGAACAGCCCTGCCTTGCCATCCTGTCCTGTCCCCACTGAGCCTGCCAGCACACCCAGGGTGCTCTTCCCGCGCACCAGCGGTCAGCCCCCCGCTCCACGGTGGGCAGCCAGCCCTGCTGGGAACACGCTAGGTCTGGCCCCGTGTTCTCTGGTCCCAGGAAGCATGTGTCTGGAGTGTTAATGGAAGGAAGGAACTCCATTTGGTACACTCCTGTGATCCAGGCCTGGGAGGGGGTGCGTGGAGTACAGGTGTCAGGCGGGGCCTGCCAGTCACCCAGTCAGGGTGAAACCCCAGCTGCATACTTGGTGATTGCCCTCGGGTAGGTGACTTCCGAGCCAGTGTCTTCTTACGTAAAATGGGGTTGTTCCGTAAGCCCCCCTGGACTGTTGAGAGCGCCAGTGAGGCCCTGTGTGTTGAGCACAGCGTAAGTGCTCAGTAAGGAGTGGCTGACAGAAACGTCCGGTGGCACATAGGTGCTTGCATCACCCCCTAGTAACTGCGCCTCTGCCCTCGCCAGGCCACCTGACTGACCAGCACCTGGCCGAGTTCCTGCGGCGCTGCAAGCGTGGCCTGCGCCCCAACGGCATCATTGTCATCAAGGACAACATGGCCCAGGAGGGCGTGATCCTGGACGACGTGGACAGCAGCGTGTGCCGGGACCTCGAGGTGGTCCACAGGATCATCCGCAGCGCGGGCCTCAGCCTCCTGGCCCAGGAGCGGCAGGAGAACCTCCCTGACGAGATCTACCACGTGTACAGCCTAGCCCTGAGATGAGCGGGGCTGGCAGGAGAAACCAAGTGACCAGTGCGGCGGGGGGGAGGAGCTGGCAGCCGGGTGAGATCCAGAGGCTCCACATCGATGGTTTGGGAGTGTTGAGTGAGGCCACTAAATATACCTGTCTGCTGTCCACTCACTACACAGACTCTTCTTACAAAGGCATCATGGGACCTGGCATGGAGGGGTGTGGCTGAATGGGGGGGCAGTGAGGCGGGAGCCTGGCTCTGCAGCCCTGAGGGGCGGGGACTGGGCAGCGCAGGCCTGTGTGACTCCGGGGGCTCCCTGTTCCCTGCCTGGGAGTAGGTGATCCCATCACCTACGGAGAGAGAGGTCTTCCCTGGGCCTCCATTAACGCCTGGCTGCCTTAAGAAGAGAACAACCCTTAACTTGGTTGTTGAGGACTTTGCCTCAGGAGAGAAGAGGAGCCAAGCCGGGCAGGTGGAGCCCAGAGCTGTCTGCATCCTCCTGGCTGCGGCCCACGTGGTGCCTGCTGTATCCACAGCTGGGGGGATGTTTGCGTTCTGAATCCTACTTGGTGATGGGGCCCTGGTGACCTTAGTGTGATGGTCACAGCCTGCAGCAAGGGGAGAGGTCTGTTTGCCTTACCCTTGGCTGTGCCTGTGGCTCCCTGGTAGGCATTTTCAGTGAGAAATAAAAGGGTGACTCCCCGTACTGTGAAGGCCCTAGCCAGCCTAGGGTGGTGCTTTCCTTTACTGGACAACAGGGCCACGTGACCTGAAAACTCTGCCCCACATGCTGTGTCTCCTGCCCACCACCTCCTCTTACTGCTGCCCTGTGACCCTTCACCCTGAACGGGGCGGGGGGGGGGGGCACAGCACGTGTTTCACAAGGATCTTGAAGGCCAAGAGAAATCAGTTTAATTTTATAATATAAATATATCATGTAGTCGCCTCAGCTTGTTTCTGAGGCATTTACACCATTCACAATGACTGATGTGACTTGGAGACAGCTTTGTGAGGGCGCAGCTTTGGGCGGGACAGTCAGCTCTCAGTTGTGGTGGCTTTCGGTCAGGTGATCCCCTCACAAGATAAGACATTTTGGAAAAGGTTGTCCCTGGTCATGCGTGATTGCTTTCTAGCGGAAGGCATGGTCCCCAAGACCTCAGGTTTGGCGCACACAGAGCTGCCACCAGAGCCCAGCCCTGTGCCTTGGTGGGTGGAGCCCCAGGTGACCCAGCCCCAGAGCTGCAGAAGCCGGCAGGGTCAGCTCAGCTCTCTCCCAGTCCACCAAAAGCACTTCTGTAAGTGCCAGACCCGAGAGAGGAGAGGTGGGAAGGGGCTCAGCTGAGCTGCACCCCGACAGGCTCACCCCAGCTTTCCAGCTTCAGCCATGTCTTCAGGATGGATCTCAGGAGGACCTAGACTCGGAGCCGCCCTGCTTCTGTAAATGCCTGGCGCCCCTCAAATTGAGAGGGTGAACGCGTGTCCCACGTCCACACCCTGTCCCTTTTTCCAGCGTGGGTTGAGACTGAGGGTGCCGCCAGAGAGACGGGCAGTCTCCGTGGAGGAGACGGCAGCCTTCTCCCACGGGAATGAGGGCGGCTGCCGGGCCCCACCTGGCTCTGTCTCAGTGAGGGTCAGTCTCGTCTCCACCCTGCACCTCCTGACAGACGGACCGCAGGTTCTCCCCCAAGGCTGCGCAGGTAGCTGAATCCACCAGCAGGCTGAGCTGCCCAGGCCCTGCCCGCTTCAGTCCGGAGCTGTCAGATGTCGTCTTCCAGGGTGCCGCTGTGCTCGCTGAGGAGGTACCACTTCAGCCTGTCGGGCAGAGGGAGGGCTCTGACCTTCGCGTCCACGGGCCACGGCTGAAGGTAGAGCCGGATGTAAACGCGGCACAGGTGCGTGAGGGGCGGGGGGTAGCTCTCCAGCCGCCGCAAGGAGCAGTGGAGGGCCTGGATCCTCTCTGCCAGGCTGCCCACAGGATGGATGTCGAAGTTTTCCGGCAACTGGAGTTTCTGGGAGTTAGTGACCATGAGGTCCAGGATGGTCTCGGCTTTGCGCAGGAGGTCCACGTGGCTCTCGTCTTCGGCGCAGCCCGGGTGGGAACAGAGCCTCTCGAAGACAATGTGGAAGCCGGACCAGCAGGACGCGCCGTGGAGGGAACAGTTATAGGCGGCTCCGGACTCCAGCAGGAAGCGCAGGAGAGGGAAATGCAGCTTAAAGCTCTTGAGGCAGATGTGGGTGAGGGACTCGTGGGCCGGACACTCACTGGGGTCGGCCCCGTGAGCCAGCAGCAGCTGCGTCACTTGGAAGCAGAAGCGGTTGATCATCTGGGCCTCCTCTTTGTCCCCTCCCACCGTCTCCCCAAGCAGGAAGATGATGCAGGTGAACACAGTGTCCCCATCTTTGGTGGTAGCCTTGACGTCTGCCCCTAGGAGAGCCGGGAGGGAGAAGGCCTTACACCCCTGCACAGGACCCTGAATGTGTAAGAGGGGAGGAGCCTGCAGACTGGGAAGTGCAGTGTGAGGGGGAGGCTCAGAACAGCCTGGGACGAGCCTCACCTCCTTCCAGTAGGAGCCGGATGTTCTCCGTGTTGTGGATCTGCACCCCGTCACTGCTGGCCAGAGCGTGCAGCAGAGCAGTCTTTCCTGTGGAGGGAGAGAGGAAGAACGGGAGGCCCGGAAGCCGAGGTCAGGGCCACCCCAGAGGTGGAGGAGAAATACACTCAGGGTCAGAAAAGGAACTAGAAAAAGGACTGACCTCTCAGCTAGGGCTGAGGGTGACAGGCTGCTGGACGTTCTCTTTCTGCTCACACAAAACTAGGAGTAGAAGGGCCAGGAGAGTAGGATTTTTCTGACCCTGAGATGCGACCTGAAACCCAGGCTGGGTCTCTCCCGGCAGGAAGCCATAGTTCCCTCTGAAGCTGGGTGCACACATACCCTGTTTCCTCCTATAGGCAGCCCTCATGGGGCAGTGTGGACAATGACTACACGCCTCTCTGAAGCCTCTGCAAGTCACCTGCACGCCAGGCCACGCTGTGCCATCAGACAGGCCGCAGCCAGCCTGCCCACCTAGCCATTGTCCCTGGATATCCTGGGTTTCCCGGCCAAGGCACCGGGGCCCAGGCCATCCTGCTGCCCTGCGGGAGGCACCCACCATGCTTGTCAGCCGCGTTGACATCAGCTCCAAGGTCCAGGAGGCGCTGAAGGCAGGGCAGGCGCTCAGGCTCCTCACTGGCCAGGTCCAGGGGGCTGCTCTCGTGGATCTGAGCCAAGACAGCACAGCCAGGTTGACCTGGGAGCCTGGGAGGCTGCTCACGGCCCCTACCACACCCACCTTCGAGCAGGCTGGACCTGGCTCTTACCCGGTCCCTCCGGTTAATGTCAGCCCCGTGGCGCACCAGCAGCTCCACCATGTCAGGCTGGTTGCGCAGGACGGCGATGTGCAGGGCTGTGTAGTAGGTGACTGGGTCTGAGGGCACGGACACAGCTCACGTCAGTCCAGCACATTCTCGCAGAACCCCAGGCCTGACAGCCCAGCCCCAGCAGTGCCACCTAAGGAGGCCGGGCTCCTGTCACCACAGGGGGTCAGGACAGAGCTGTCCTCGTCGGATGCTAGAGTGCGGGCTCTGGAGTCAGACCTAGGTTCAGGTCCCAGGGGTGTTCTAGTGGGTGAGGTACTTAATCTGTTTAGGCTTTACTTTCCTCTTCTGTGAAATGGGACCATAAAACAGGGCATCTCCTCTGGGGCTGCTGGGAGGAAGACCCAGAGTGACAGCTCCTTAAGCCTGGCAATAACAGCCAGGTTCTCCAAGCTAGGTCTCCAAGTGACTAACTTCAGAACGAGCTCCCCCTCCTCAGCTCCTTGACCCTGTAGGAGCCCACAGCCTCGGAGACCGTCCTCAAACGGGGAAGGGAGACATGCCTGGTCACATCCTGTGTCAGCACCAAGACCCCCGTTGGGTCACAAGTCCCCCTGCATGTATCCTGGCCGACCCTGCGCTCCCTGGGGAAAGCCACAGAGGAAAGGAGAACAGCTCCATCACCGCCCCGGCACTTAAAAGCCAGAAGCCAGCACGGTCCTGCCGTGATTTATGCCTACCGTGGCTTATCTGTCTCCCCTCTCCCTATGGCAAGAAGGAAAATGCAAGATGGCTCAGAATAAGTGGCAGAAAATTACTTTCTCTTAGCTCTGGGCACCCGGCCAGCAGCCACATTTTCACATTAATGGAAGCAGGGACTTGGCTGGGAAAGTTTTGCTAAATCCATCACACAGGAGAAGCAGCAACACACTGCCTCCTGGACCAGAGGTGGTGGTGCCATCTGCATGTCCACAGGGGACGGGAGGCCCCCAGTGCGGCTTCCTCACTCATCACCCAGGAAATAGAGGAGGGCGGGAGCCCCTAAGGGAACGGTGGAAGCAGAGCCCACAGGCCTGGCCGCCCACCCAGCGCAGGCCCACCTGCCCACCCCGCCCCTCTGGGCTCCAGCTGACCTTCGAAGTTGAGGTTGGCCCCGTTCCGCAGGAGAACGTCGGCCGCCCGGGTCAGCCCCAGCTCGGCCATCTTCAGCAGGGCGTTGCTCACGCCTTCTTGGTAAAAGGGAGAGTGGGCTTTTCTCTCCAGCAGCTCAGTGAGAACAAGGATTCGGCTCTCCTCGCTGGCGACATAACTGGGCCTGGGGCAGGAGAGAGGCGGACCAGGTGAGGGTGGGAAGAGCTATGGGACCAGCTGGGCTGGGCACCCTGTGGGTGGGTGGCCTTCAGTTGCCTGCTGTCATCACCCCCCCACCCCCAAGGCAGGGCCCTGGCTCTATGGGGCAGACAGCCTTTTTGGAAAAGGTCTGTGGTGGAGAGGGCCAAAGTGGATCTTCTAACTGGAGCAGACGCCTCGGGCTTGCCGAGAAAGGACTGGGGCTGTCTTCAGCCTCCTCCCAAGCTGCCCAGAGAATCTGGTCCCTGGCTTGGGTACAAAGCCTCCCACACCTGGGCTGTCCGGACGGAAGGGCACCCTAGCGGCCAGGAGTAAGAACCAGACCCTGACACTTGTTCCTCAGACAATGACTGTCCCTGAGCTGCAGAGGGTGCCAGACCAGCCAGGCAGCCCTCCTTCCCGGCTCACACACACTGCGACACTGAGCCTCCCAGTCTCCCGAAGGCTGAATGCACGCAGGCCCTTC